GATTGCTGGCCACTGCTGCCAGTGCCACCTGTAGATCTTCCTTGAGCTGTGCGGGAGCCCACCTCAGAATATCGACCAATGGATCGACCAATGGATCGCCCATTTCTGCTGGGAAAGTCACTGCAAGACCGATCCGCTATTGCGGACCGCTTCCAGCATGACCTGGCACGGTCATCCCACGTTCAAATGGCCATTCCCAATCCGAACATATATCAGAATCATAGGTGAGTATACTATGTACACTGTATGCTCATGTATACTGCCACTTTCACCCAGGCTTCCCCTCATCCCAATATCACAGGTATATATGCGGTCTATGCGGTCCATCCACAGTTACAATCATCCCCATGGCTCGAACCGGTATAGGACGGGATGGCACCCGTCCAATTTTTGGGGCCTCTCGGCAAGCTCGAAGTTTTCCATCTGCATAAATGATGGCAAAGCCTGAGATGGCGCTCAAAAACCTCAAACAACTGCTGCTAGAATCTGGTAGATGTATGATGTGCATTTGGTCCCATAGGTCTTGACCCATCCCCAAATGTGGTATGATGGCCATTGCTTTCCGCAATCGTTGAGATCTGCCATTTAAAACTTCAAAAACCGTCTTCCGAAGACATGTATTTATAGAACTGGTTCCAGCCAAGCCGCCGTTGCACTTCACCGCAGTCAAGACGACTTCTGCATCTGACTTCAATTTTCCTGAAACATGTTGAAAGATGTTGAAACTATCTGAAACTCAAATCATCCCATTTTAATCATGTTAATTATTCACAACCCAACATCTGATGTTCCCATCAACCCTCACCATGTGTCCCCCGCCTGAGCTGAACTGGAGCATGGTGCCTTCGTGACGCACCGCTGCCAGCACAATCTCCCGGTCTCCTTGCATCTCTTCCGATGCATAAGCAAGCCTCGGATGGCATCGCGCGGCTGGACTGAAGGATTCAATGGCACTGCTGAACAACTGCAATACAAATCAAATCTTTAGTATTCTCATAAACTCACCCATGCCACTGGATATGGGAATCAATGGCCAAACATAGCCTCCAAAGGTGCACATGACAACCATGAAGTGCAAAGCACTCTTGCAACCAGGGCACACCGCACTGTTGCTCACCGCAGCTAAAACGATATTACCTGGGACCCACATCGTCCAAAATCACATTCATGTCTGTAAGATCGCAGATTCTGGGTCAACTCCAAAACTTCGAGGGCAAAAGACATGAGACTCATAGATTCTCAGATGTGCTTGAGAGATCTTGAGAGTAAGATCCATGCCCAACTCTGTTCAATGTGAATCCAGGCCTGCAACCTCTGGGCCCCCAAACGATCATGTTGCAACTTGGGCGTGATGAGGGTGAGGAGGAATCCATCGTTGCTGACCGCTGCCAAAGCTACCTCATCGAAGAGACTGGGATCTTCAGAACTGGTGTGTGGTCAAAGCCCAGGCAGTATGGCAACATCAGTCGGGTGAACCAATGCCATAATGATCTCTTCCCAAAAAGAACACTCCCTAATTATCTTTAACAAGTGATACACTATAATTATATACAGAAGAAAAGAGGGGTGATCATATGATCCAAGCCATGACCATCACCCATCCTCCATGATTCAGTGCTTCCGCGCCTCGCGATCCGCCTTGACATCTTCCGGGAGGCTCTTGAAGATCCGTGCGCTTTGCTTCACCGCCGCCAGGGCGATGAGCCGATTGGCCTTCAACGCCAGCGGCACGTGTTGGAAGGCCGTGAAGTCCGAGGTCACCGCCGCCAGCGCCACGTCTTCGTCACAGCGCCTCGAAATTGGAGATTGGTGGAGCATTTTTTTTGAGCATCAATTGGGATGAGCCTTCAATATTTCGACTGTTCCTAAGTTAAATTTAAAAAGACTTCAGAAGATGCTCCGTGAATTCAATCTATCAATCATTGTTTTGTACAGTACAGAAGAGGTTGTTCATCCATATCCATTGTTCCTTGTGTAAATCATGTTTGAGTTCCTATTTTTTATGGTAGAACCCCCATTTTCACTGGTTGATCCCCATTTTGGTTTCATTGTTTCTATATCCCATTTTCGTTGGTATATATGGGTCCACAAGATGTTGAAACATGTTAAAACCAGGAATGGTCAGCCCAAGGTGCAGCTGCTCGTCCACAAATTTCAGCGCCTGGCCATAGCTGCGGACGGCCTCAAGGACCACTTCGCGGTCGCTCCTGGGCGTTGAAGCAACGGCCCTTGGCTAACTGAGCCAACAAGCACAGAAAGAACAGGAATCATCATCATTTGTAATAGAGGGTCGTAAAGTATCGGAAGATCATATATTATATACTATTATTGAAAAGGCATGGAGAGGCAGCATCAACCAGCAACTGCGTCAAGGCAAAACTGCCCAGTCCTAAACTTTGGCACCACGTACCTGCCAGGAGATGGCCAGCCAAGCCATCCCGAGCAGGACTTCAGAAGCCACATCACGGATCTGCCAAATGTCTTCCAAACTGTTTCCAAGATCTGGTAATGAATACATCATTCAACTGAATTCATCATGTAGGCGTTTGGCCACATGTTTGTATCATGCAGTACTCAATGCCCAAAACCAGGATTACTGCCGGAACTGCCTCAAAGCAGCACCACTACTGCGAACGGCAGTGAGGGCCACTTCGCGGTCCTGCCATTTCTGAGGGACAAATGACATTTGCTGTGGGCAGCCAAAAGAAATGAAATAGGAATATGAATTATGTGTCCAAAAATCAAGGCAAGCCCAAGAGAATAGTGATGTGATTTCCCTGTTTTGAAGCAGTTTGATTATACAAGGGTCCAGCCCCCAGACCCCCAGACTATAAACGGGAACCCTTCGCTACGCATTCGGGAAAAACAGGATAATCTGGGATGAACATCCAAAATCATCAAATCACCAGCTCAACGCCATCTTACCTATAACTAATCAACATACCCACAACCTGGAATTCTGCATGCTAATAGTGATCAGCTACGTGATCTCATAAGAAAACGGGTTACATATCCAAACTCCAGAGTTCCTATGCGTTCTTGCTAAAGGCACGACTTTTGCGAAACACACTTCCCCAAGGCACAACGATTTTTTCCTAAAACAGGTACGACTTTGTCAGATGCCTGTACCATATTGGGAGGATTTTGGATGTTCTGGCTGAAGTGGAATCACACCCATGCTGGAAAGATCAGCCGCAACTCCCAGGTCACAATTGCCATCCAGGCTGACTGGCCACTGCTATACCTCACATCATCTTTTTAGGACTACAGTATCGACCCAAAATTCCAAACATTTGGAAGATATTCAATTCCAGTCCTGATAGGGGCACTATACATAATTGATCATGATTGAATTCCAAATGATACAAAACATTTTCGAACATCAATCAACTTCAATCCACCATTCAATGATGGTTTTTAGATCCATAAACCATCATTCAGAAACCATTAACCCACCATTTTTTCCCATGGTTTTCCCCCATTCCTGAACCCCTCCACCCCTTGAAGCATCTCCTCAGCCAGGCAGCCGGCCACGTATTGCACCGCCGAGCCGTTGGTGCGCACCGCCGTCAAGGCCACCTATTGACATCTGATTCACATCTATTAACTATGATGACTCATGACCTATAATCAATCATCTACTGTGAACCCATATTGGAATCCCTATTATCAGTTTTTGGCCAAAGTTTCGAAAAGTGGAGCCTGGGAGGCATCTGAGAACTGGTTTTCTGTGGTACGCTTTGGTACGCTGCCTCTCGGTCTGCTCGTAAGGCATCGGAGGCATGGCGAACGGCAAATCCGTCGTTGGCGACAGCGGCGAGGACAATGTCGCGGTTCGCCTGTGGCTCAGCAATGTCCCCCGTGTGTGGAAAAGTTTGAAAATTCTGATTGGGTAGCCCTCTGTTCACCTCAAAATCAGCGGTGCGAATGGATGTTCATCCCGCCAGTTCTGGTGTTTCAAATTTCAAATACCCTCTGGTAATTTAACATAGCTATGGCATAGCTATGGAAAATCACAATTTTTAATGGGAAAATCCACTATAAATGGCAATTTTCAATACCTATGTTAGTTTACCAGAGGGTAGGTTCCGATTCAGACCCCCATGTTTGATGGCTACCAACCTATCAAGTCCAAAATCTAGAAATGCACCAGCCAAAATGTGGTTGTCCTACCTCCATTCTGGGGGTAAATCCTCCATTGCCAAACTCATGTTCCAACTGCAATCCTCCATTGAATCCAATATTATATCCCATTATATATCATTATATTCCATTGAAAATATATATATATATATGCATTGAATATTCCAACTAATTATCCCAATTACAATACTACCCATTAAAGGAATCATCCCTTAGCCTTTATCTTGGGAATTTGCCTTCAATAATTCCCTTCAAGAATGTGCCTTTAATATCATTGATCCATTTATATTCCAATAATACCCATTGATATTCTTAATTAATTATCCCAATTAGCCCATTGAATGGATGATATCAATTGGATCATGTCCATTGGATGGGGGAATAATACCATAATACTACCATAATATTATTAGTAATATCCGCCGACCCCGGCCTTCGCCAAGGCCGGGGCGGCGCCTGGGACCACCGCAGGTGTGGAACTTTTCCGCGCACATAGCCCTCTCTCGTTAAGGTACCAACAAGCCCAACACGCGCCCCTCCCGCACACAAAAGCCACCACAAGGCCACAGCAATGGCTCAAGAGCACCCCACGGCCGCAGCAATGGCTTCTTATACGCGTTCAAGGCTGCCGTTTGCCAGGCCTCAAACGCTCCAAAACCCTCCAAACCCTCCAAAAGTCCGGCCAGCTCCGCAGGGAAAAGGTACCCCAACAAGCCCAACACGCGCCACTGCCGCGCGCAAAAGCCACCACAAGGCCACAGCAATGGCTCAAGGGCACCCCACGCCAATGGCTTCTTATACGCGTTCAAGGCTGCCGTTTGCCAGGCCTCAAACGCTCCAAAACCCTCCAAACCCTCCAAACCCTCCAAAAGTCCGGCCAGCTCCGCAGGGAAAAGGTGCCCCAACAAGCCCAACACGCGCCACTGCCGCACGCAAAAGTCACCACAAGGCCACAGCAATGGCTCAAGGGCACCCCACGGCCGCAGCAATGGCTTCTTATACGCGTTCAAGGCTGCCGTTTGCCAGGCCTCAAACGCTCCAAACCCCTCCAACCCCCCCAAAAGTCCGGCCAGCTCCGCAAGGAAAAGGTACCCCAACAAGCCCAACACGCGCCACTCCCGCACGCAAAAGCCACCACAAGGCCACAGCAATGGCTCAAGAGCACCCCACGGCCGCAGCAATGGCTTCTTATACGCGTTCAAGGCTGCCGTTTGCCAGGCCTCAAACGCTCCAAAACCCTCCAAAACCTCCAAAAGTCCGCCCTCCAAACCCTCCAAAAGTCCGGCCAGCTCCGCAAGGAAAAGGTACCCCAACAAGCCCAACACGCGCCACTCCCGCACGCAAAAGCCACCACAAGGCCACAGCAATGGCTCAAGAGCACCCCACGGCCGCAGCAATGGCTTCTTTTATACGCGTTCAAGGCTGCCGTTTGCCAGGCCTCAAACCCTCCAAAACCCTCCAAAAAACCCTCCAAAACCCTCCAAAAGTCCGCCCTCCAAACCCTCCAAAAGTCCGGCCAGCTCCGCAAGGAAAAGGTACCCCAACAAGCCCAACACGCGCCACTCCCGCACGCAAAAGCCACCACAAGGCCACAGCAATGGCTCAAGGGCACCCCACGGCCGCAGCAATGGCTTCTTATACGCGTTCAAGGCTGCCGTTTGCCAGGCCTCAAACGCTCCAAAACCCTCCAAACCCTCCAAAAGTCCGGCCAGCTCCGCAGGAAAAAGGTACCCCAACAAGCCCAACACGCGCCACTGCCGCACGCAAAAGCCACCACAAGGCCACAGCAATGGCTCAAGGGCACCCCACGGCCGCAGCAATGGCTTCTTATACGCGTTCAAGGCTGCCGTTTGCCAGGCCTCAAACGCTCCAAAACCCTCCAAAACCCTCCAAAAGTCCGCCCTCCAAACCCTCCAAAAGTCCGGCCAGCTCCGCAAGGAAAAGGTACCCCAACAAGCCCAACACGCGCCACTCCCGCACGCAAAAGCCACCACAAGGCCACAGCAATGGCTCAAGGGCACCCCACGGCCGCAGCAATGGCTTCTTATACGCGTTCAAGGCTGCCGTTTGCCAGGCCTCAAACGCTCCAAAACCCTCCAAACCCTCCAAAAGTCCGGCCAGCTCCGCAGGAAAAAGGTACCCCAACAAGCCCAACACGCGCCACTGCCGCACGCAAAAGCCACCACAAGGCCACAGCAATGGCTCAAGGGCACCCCACGGCCGCAGCAATGGCTTCTTATAGAATGGGCTAGCGCCCAGGTGCCGCCGACCCCCCGCAAGGAAAAGGGGTACCCCGCAAGGAAAAGGTACCCCAACAAGCCCAACACGCGCCACTCCCGCACGCAAAAGCCACCACAAGGCCACAGCAATGGCTCAAGAGCACCCCACGGCCGCAGCAATGGCTTCTTATCCGCGTTCAAGGCTGCCGTTTGCCAGGCCTCAAACGCTCCAAAACCCTCCAAAACCCTCCAAACCCTCCAAAAGTCCGGCCAGCTCCGCAGGGAAAAGGTACCCCAACAAGCCCAACACGCGCCACTGCCGCACGCAAAAGCCACCACAAGGCCACAGCAATGGCTCAAGGGCACCCCACGGCCGCAGAAATGGCTTCTTATACGCGTTCAAGGCTGCCGTTTGCCAGGCCTCAAACGCTCCAAACCCTCCAAACCCTCCAAACCCTCCAAAAGTCCGCCCAGCTCCGCAGGGAAAAGGTACCCCAACAAGCCCAACACGCGCCACTCCCGCACGCAAAAGCCACCACAAGGCCACAGCAATGGCTGAAGGGCACCCCCCGGCCGCAGCAATGGCTTCTTATAGGCGTTAAACCCTCCAAACCTTCCAACTCCTCCAAAAGTCCGCCCAACTCCGATGCAAAAGGTACCCCAACAGGCGCCACGCCCGCACGCAAAAGCGACGACAAGGCCACAGGCTTGAGAAGTAAACGGCCATATGTCTGTCTTGCTGTCCGTCTCCCTCCCTCTCTCTACAGTACCCCCCTCCAATTAGGGGGGTCGGCGGCACCTGGGCGCTAGCCCATTCTATAAGATGATAAAAAATCTGGATGGCTCTCTGGGCTATCTTGCCTCAAGCAATGTCATCTGTCTCTAGGTGCCTCTCTGGGCTATTTTGTCTATTACAATGTTGTCTGTCTCCAGATAACTCTCTGGGCTATCATGTTTGCTGCACACTCGTCTGTACCTTGGAGGCTCTTTAAGCCATTGAGTCTTCAGCCTCATCCTTGTCCGTTACACGTGCATCTGTCTCTTGGCAACTCTCTAGGGTATCTTGTCTGCTAGAAAAGTCATTTGTCTCTAGTTGGCTCCCTGGGCCATCATGCATGCAATCATACTTGAATGTTCAACCAAATAAGGATCACGATCCATATTCTGCAAAAGAGAAGATGCACGCACTGAATCGTTACTGCTTGCTCATGAAATCTTCCACGTCTCAATGCCATAATCAGCAATAGATTGCAACACGCCATACAAGAAATTGTCCATGTGAATACACATATTGTTTAAATATGTATAACCTAGAACTGCTAAGACGCAACCCCTTGTAACATCCAAATAATGGATTTCCATAAATCAGAGAAGCAAAATGAAGCACCGGAAAAAAACATAGATTGACATTAACGTTTCGGAGTCTGGGTACGAAATTTCTTCTTTCCATTTGGTACTTTCTGAACCTTCATGCCTTGGTCCTCTTTTTCTTGGCCTTTGTTTCATCAGGTGGCTTGCAGCTGGTGTTCAGCTCATCTTTCTTTTCGTGATCTTCCTTTCAAGACTCCTGCAACCATATCATATTTGATTCTCTAAGGCACTGTCATATCTCCACTTCTATCGCACTGGCCTCCACTCTATCGACTAGCATTCTCTATATTGCTCTGCCATCCCATTGCAGTGACATACCATTGGCTTTGAGATCCCTTTCCTTTGACACTCCTTTGCTTTGGCATCCCCAATATGTAGCATAGATTTTGTTTCGTCATTATTTGAATTCAAATGCGATTTAGGGTATGTGCCGCAGTATATAATTTTAATAAAAATGTTCATATTATGTCTTAACTTGATGAACTTAGAATAAACTTTGTCATATCTAGAACCATACTTAATCAGTAAGAATTTATTTGAAGAAATAAAATAAATGCATTAAAAATAACAAAAAACAGCTAAAAATGACGTAAAAACTGGGGACCCACAACGTCCCGCACTCATTTTCTGACAAACCTTTTCATGTGGACCTGAAAATGTTAAAGTTGGATGCTTTTTGATATTAAATCAGGCTTTTTGGGTGGGTGATTTCATAGGAATGGAGTGCATTCCATGAGATCCTGCTCAACATGATATGGTTTCGAATAACTCACGACCATCTTTGACCAGAGTCAGTGGACAGGGGAGAGGGAGAGAGATGGACATCGAAACGGAACATGGACATCCAATTTTCCAAAGAATCCAAGGAGATGTCACAGAGGTTTCATCAACCTCCGGGTGAAGCTATCAACTTGATCAACTTGAATCCGTATCGACCTCTTCCGTAGGGCTCCCAAACAACTTGTCAGATTATTCACGTTGGGAAAAGTCAATTGTAGCCTTGTCCAAAGAGGCTCCCCATTTTCACCCCCATGATGCAACCATACAACCAGAGCTCCCAGCATCGCTGTACCTTCACCAAGAACTCCGTCTTCCAGGCATCTAGAGGCTTGATGGCCTCAAACCGCGTGGGATCAGGTGTTGACAAACGTGAACGGTTGCAGAGATGGATGATGACGGATGTTTCAAACACAAGGAAACATATGGAAAATGGGAAAACCTTCGATACTCACGAAAAGTAAGTTCAGGTAATTTCTGGTCTGAGATCTCGTATTCTGCAATGAAACGGTAAACGGTAAACGATTACAGTAGTCAATCATTTAGCAAGTTCTAAATGTCAACCAGAAAGCATATTCTACTCTTTGTGTCAATGAGGTTCCCGGGTGCACTCTGATTTCATTTGGCCTGGTGGCAAGCAGGGCCACCAGCCTACAAACAACAATGGATCGGATTCGCAACGAATCCCGGTCCTCTTTTATGAAGCGCAGAAAATAGACAGAAACAATACAACAAACATGGATGCAGCAGCAGGTTCTGTGGACACAATCTACAACGCTGGGTTGTAAAACTCTGGCAATAGAATGGTACCTACCTTGGGGCACATGTATCATGACCAACCTTAAATACCTTGCAATTTTTAGCTGGTTAGTATGTATTATATATGTAATATATATATATATATATATGAATTATATATATATATATAAACAATTATATATATACATCATACCATATCCCACATTTGTAGCAACAGATTCAGTGGTACTAACCTCGCTACAGCTTTCCCGTGATTTCCCACTCGGACCACTCGGATCCAATCGGATCTGTGGATGACCTCGACTTAGGTCTGCAACCATGGGGCTTTCCATGATAAAAATGGGGGGTTCCCGACAATTTTCCCTTCAAACTGATGGATGGTTGAAATTTTCACTTAAATATCTTAAATCAAACTGATGGATGGTTGACAAATTTGACAACTTCATATTTTCCCTACGATTCCCTTCAAAATGATGGTTGACAACTTCATTTTCCCGATTCAATGGTTGCATGGCCATAGATTGAAAAGGCATTCCCCGATTTTCAGGTGCCACATCTGAAGCGTACTGGGACGGAAGATTCAAAGCTGTTTGGACACCATTGGCAAACACATATGACGGGGGCTTCATAAGCCCTGAATAAATCTGGCTGATAATTCACTAGCCTCAAAATACTGTCTTTGGGGATGATTCCCCTTTACTAACGATAATCTTTGCTGACATCTTGGTGACGTCGTGGTTGAATTCAGCCAGATTTTCATATAGACCGATACAGTCTCAGTATCCCGTTCATATCCCACTGTGTCGCCGTTAGATCCTCACTCATCGAAATCCCATGTATAGATATTTATATAATATATATATATATAATATATATGTATTATATATATATATGATTATAGATGGTTGATAATCCCCTGAAAAATCCCAAACACTAGTGGGGAGGTCACCAGAATCCAGTGAAAATCCTCAAGCTTCGGGACATCAAAATCCGAGAGTTTCTCCACAAAGGCGTCGACGTCGCTGTCTAGGCCGGCGGCCAGTGGAGAGATTCGTGGATTGCATCGGGGGGAATTCGCAGCGATCTTCCTGTGAAATTCCGAAGGGTTTGATACGGTTCCACCAACTTGAAATGGGGAGAAATGGGAACTGCAGGGCAGAGTCATATCAACATCTATTACTGGCAACTGCATTTAGATAACCCCAATTGTTGGGACCCCCCTATACCCCTTCCTCCGGGGTTTCAATCGGGGTTGGTTTGTACCATTGACAGGACATCAACTAATTATGGGATCGCCATCCCAAGTAGGATGGACCTTTGAAATATATCAAAGCACCCAAGAGGTGGTTTAAAAACTCCTGTCAATGTTGATATCATAAACCTCCAAATAGATTTTAAATAGATATCTTCAGCTGTACATGCTGTATAGCTAAACATAATCAAACAGTTTCTGTAAGCCACACATGTTACTGCAACTCTAGAGCTCATCTTATTAGATACCCAACATCAGCGTGGACGCTCAGCTCCCTAGACACTGACCTGAGCTCCGAATCGGCAGTGTCTGAGTCATCTCGAGGTGGGGCTGGGTAAGACTGTTCTTCTCCCCACTTCAATATACCCTCTGGTGAACTAACATAGCAATTGAAAATGGCCATTTATAGTGGATTTTCCCATTAAAAATGGTGATTTTCCATTGCTATGTTAGTTCACCAGAGGGTAATTTCATAGCTAAATTCCGTCACAAAAACAGGCCAAAACCCAATCCCGGCCATCCTTTCACACGATCATGCGGTCGCGGGGTCGTTCCAATTTGTCCAGATAGTGCGTTTTCTGCTTATGTCCCATGTCCCCCTTTATATCAAAATATCATCAAATATCCCAGTAATATATTCTGAATTCTATTATCCTATTCATCATCCATTAAATCACCACTTCCCTAGATGTCACCATTAGATCCAGCATCCATAATGTGGTATGTGATATCATGTGACATCACGTCCTCGATATGCTTGGATCATATCCCACAATCCGAGTATATCATCCAATGTAAAAGGTTGGTTGTATATCCCACTATATCCCCATTCATATCCCAATACATCACCATGTTTTATGGGTCAATCATCGTTTTCATCCAACCAACTTGACCACATTTTTGGTGACCCCATAATCGACTGGGAAGCCCGAACTCTCAAAGGCCTGTGCCAAATCACCCAGCAACTCGCCTGAAACAAATAGGGCACCGGCGACAAAATCAAAAAAAAACAAAAAACAAGCTAAACTAACAGCAAAACATGACGAAACCATGACGAAACCAGGCTTTTGAAGTTTTCGTTGAGTGTTTTTTTCGTGTTTTTTCAACAAAAACCAAGCCAACATCTGGGAGGAGGGATTACGCTCCCTCAAACAAAGCGACCACGCCGTGAAAGTTGGGCAAAAACTACGAATTCCGAACATGGTCATGGGCGATTCTCAAGGTCCCATCAAACCACTTCGTATAAACCGACGACTTTGAGCATGATTTGCAGCAATCCTTTGTGACTTTTCTCCCTGTGTGTGTGAAATCCCAAGGTGTTTCAACATTTTTCATGCTTCATCGGCGGAACTCAGGAGGAAATGACTAGGACTCTCATTCCAGCGACCTCGCGACGTGAGGTTCTTGTAATTTCCAATTTGTCCAAATTTAATTCACTGGTTGGTGGTTGAGCCCTACCCCTCTAAAAAATATGATGGAGTCAGTTGGGATGATGATATTCCCAAGATATGGAAAAATAAAATTCATGTTCCAAAGCACTTGACCAGATTTAACACCAACCCATCAAACACATTATTTCTGTACCAATCAAAGCCTAGTGAAAACATCCAAGGTGCCTTCTCTGGAGCTGGCGAAACGCGGATCCAGCGACCTTTCCAAGCGATACCCATGGACAAAACCATCCAATTAATGAGCAAACCTGGAATGACGGGTGAGCCAAATGTACGTGAATATACAATGCATTCATGTTTCGAGTACACTTCAAAGGAATTCGGATTTGCTGATACTTTGAGTTGCTTCCCCAAATGGTAGATTAAGCAACGGGAACATCCCAAACCATTTTCAGCAAATCCAGGATTTGGAATTGACATGTATTTGGAATGTATCTTAAAATTCTTGTTCCATTATTGGTCGGCTGGAATGCTAGATTGGCATCATTTGGCTGTCATATCAATAGAACAAGATGAACAAGTCCCTTTTTCATACTATTTCCAGATGCATTCCACATACGATCATTCTTTCAATTTCAAAGGGATGTCGTTAACCGAGCATGAGGCCAACTTGTAAGGGATTTTGTCGAACCTGAGGCCAGCCAATCTAAGGGTCCCCTTAAAGCTGCCCAACCAACCGAAAGGTTTGAATATCACCCAAAAATTGTGGGGACAATCTCCAACAACCATCAATTGAGTTTTCGGTCAAACTTGTGGCACCCCAAAACCCCCCAAAAAATGGACAAAAATGGATGGTTCAATGGTTCATTCATACAATCTGACCAAAACTCCCCTTGGTACTGGGGAAATGTATGGAAATGTCGACCAACCCTGGTTGACCCCTCAGGGGCCCCAGCCGATACTTGTCCAATGCCAGATTCACCGTGACGCTATCACCACCTGGTGGAGCATTCCGAAGCCATGCGCGAAACCACGGGTTTCTCAGAATGTCGATTCACACCCGAAGAATATATGCATTGTTGGATCGTCATTGCACTGAACTTTCATCCTTTTAAAGGAATGTTATATATGTTCAGAGGCATAACACTTTACTATATATACAATTATATACATTACTATTTTCATCTATTTTCACTGCCATTGGGACAAGTCACTATCCGCATTCCAATCGAATTTTTCATCATTCCTGCAATGTTCAATTCCTGCAAATGATCACCTGGTTGGCAGTTTCGTCGAAACGCGCCAAATTTGGCCACTGAGCTGTACATGGAGAACCTCCTTGATCTGCAAAAAGCCTTCTGAAAGGCTGTACCATGGTCTGGCTCAAGCTTTGGTTCCTTGGATTCCGGGTGATTCGATGCGAAAACAGGAAGGGAATCCAACTCCGAAACCAGCAACCCATCATTGGCTGTTTAAAGTTTAGCGCATCCGAAAAGAAATTTGAGTGACAAGCGACCATGGCATCAAGGGCAGAGACAGTCTGACTATCTGACTATCATAGACTCCATTGAAATCCCAGGATTCAGCGACCCAAATTGCTATGCTTACAACTATTACCCCCTGCGGATGCCCCTAGCCATGGCGCCATGGAGGAGCTACGGGATCCACCAGTCGGTCTTCAGAGTTGGGGAAAAACACAACAAACAGCACGCGGTGGATATTCTGATGTTCCCCTTCCCGTTGTTCCCATTTACAAAGGACAAACGACATCAAACGACAAAATCATACAAAATCAAGATCTTCTGCAAATCAGGTGGCAAGCTGCACTATCGAATTGGCATTTTTGAGATGCAACCCACAGGCATGTTCTATCGCTCAATCTGTGGCTGCACTGGCTGCGTCTTCTTTCAAATTTAGAATGTCAAAGATGCTCAAATTGAAACAAATTCCAAGGCCAAGCTCTCCAAGAACATGTGGCTTCAAACCTCCGACTGGCATATTCCCAGCAGCTGAGCGCGACAACAGGATGCAGAAGAGATTGATGACCACCACCTTCTGCCAGAAACTGCACAATGTCGAGGTGGCCATTTCGAGCTGCAACCAACAAGCGTTACACCCATGATATCTGCATGATCTTTGGCTGCACCACCGTCTGCGAGAAACCGCACAATGTCCACGTACCCATCCTGAGATGCAATCGACAGGGGTGTTACACCATTTCGAGCTGCAAACCACAAGGGCGTTTTGCCATCGATGTCTGCTTGATCTTTGGCTGCACCACCTTCTGCCAGAAACCGCACAACATCGAGATAGCCATTTTCAGCTGCAAGCAACAAGGGCGTTGCGCCATCGTTGCTTGCTTGATCTTTGGCTGCAGCCCACGCTCAATGCCAGGATGAGGCAAGCGAATACACCGGATTTGAGCATGGCAATGCCGACCCTGAGCTAAAAAGCGTCCCTGAGCTTGAGGAAAAACTTGCACCTTGCAACAACTACGGAAGAACATAAAGATGCTGAAAAATGAAACCAAAATCCAAGCTCGAACAAAAGAGCTGATTCCTGTTTCAAATTTAGAATGTCAAAGATGCTCAAATTGAAACAAATTCCAAGGCCAAGCTCTCCAAGAACATGTGGCTTCAAACCTCCGACTGGCATATTCCCAGCAGCTGAGCGCCGCGACAACAGGATGCAGAAGAGATTGATGACCACCACCTTCTGCCAGAAACTGCACGATGTCGCGGTGGCCATTTCGAGCTGCAACCAACAAGGGCGTTGCGCCATTGTTGTTGATCCTTGGCTTCACCTTTCCGGCGTTGAGGTGATTGTTCCAAACTGCAGCAAACAGTGGTGTCCATCCTTGGAAAAACTCAGGCTCATCTGTTTTTGCTCCTGCCTCCAGCAACAGTCCCATAGGTTGAACATGCCCTTGCATTGCAGCGTGAAACAAGGGTGTCTTGCCGTCTTTGTCTGCCTCGTTGGGATTTCGTGGTCGTTGCAGCAACTGTTCAAGAGCAACCGAGTTGTTCTCCCTAGATGAGATCATTTTCTGTGTTTCTTTATCATCAGTTGGCCAGAATTCCAAGACCACCAGCTGGATCTTCAGCGGAGCTGGATCTAGAACTTCATCATGGATTTCATGCAAACTGTCTTCAACATACAATCTCTGCGTGAATCTCGAACTGCCAACCTTAGCGCCAAACTTTGCTGCCAAGGCTTTCTTCACTGTCTTGGCCGTTTGGCCTTGGAGTTCATCATCAAGGACTGTGAGGTTGTCGCCTGATGTGAGGAAACACACCTCCGTACACAGCTCCATTGCTGCTCTCGACCCGGGCGCAAATGTGTATGTGAAGAATTACAATGTCACAAAGAAATAAGATGGTGGATAGAAAATCATAGAAAATCTATGAACAATATTACACAATGTCACAACGGAACTGCAAAACCGATAATTCTGCACACCACACCTGCACAATAACAATCAATGCTGCATACTCCATGGCGCTTTTCCAACCTTTCCAATCTGAACAGTCTGCAGCTGCAGCGTCTGAGCGTCTGCCACACGTGTTGTAACTTTGAAACCACCGCGAACGTTCGGAGAAAATAGGGCAGGGATGGGTAAAACAGTAAAACACCACAAACATCTTTGAACATCCTTTAAAGATACCATTAAAAAAACACTCCACTTCCATTGGTAATGAATTTCTTTCAAACAAATCATAATTTTTATCATGGACCGGACCAAAAAAACCATGGGCAATCGCGATGGTTTTCCAACTCTGAACCTTCATTTCCCAGGTGGGATTTCCGAGCCAGCCATGTTTGAGGACACCGTGGCACCCGTTGCGGGTCATCCATATTCCATCGATGTATCCCCTTGAAATATCTTGAAATATTCAGCATGAACTCCCCTGCGGGATTTCCGACGGATGGCACCTACCAAATGCAGAATGCCAGCATTGAGGAAATGCTCCTGCGGGAAATGGATCAAACTTCTGGTTGAAAGAGTTTAGTACAGTCCATTCTAGCAGGTTCAAACACTATACTGAAAATAGCTGTATCGTTAAGTTCATAGAAATCTCCACGATTTACCCAGAACATGTGCTTTGGACTTTGGATATGTTTGAACATGATTTAACCAGCAAAGATCATGGATCTAGACAGGAAACACCTTCAAAGGGACCAACTGTGGTGAAACCAACTCCCATGGGCAAACATCATCCCCAATATACCAGGATATACCAGGTAGTACAACCCCCCATGGGGTGTCTTTGAGGTGACTATGGCACTGATTACAATCCTATAAGGTGGGACCCCATAAATAGCCAAGTTGCTTTAGTTCACTAGGTCAACGTTCGGGTGGCAGTTATAACTATATAGTTTTGTAGTGGCTTTATGGCAACCAACCATTTATAGCCAAATTGGCAATTTAACATAGCAGAAGGAAAATCACCACGGTTGAATAGCTAAATCATACTTTTTATCATAAATCATAAATATGCATAAATAATTTTCCATAAATATGTTAAACTGAAAGGGGACACCAAAAATCATAAATCATCCATAAATCATCCATATACCCTCTGGTAAATTGACATAGACCCGGAAAATCACCAATTTTTAGTGAAAACGAATCTTCCAACCCCCATCTGGCAGGGTCTATGTTAATTTACTCGAGGGTATAAGTTAAATAACCAGATCTGGTTGGTGGTTTCAACCCCTCTGAAAAATATGAAAGTCAGTTGGGATTATTATTCCCAATATATGGAAAAATAAAATTCATGTTCCAAACCACCAATCAGATATTATCCATTAGATACCCCAATGAATCATAGCTATAAAAGCTATATCAATAAATCATCCACAAATCATCCATAAGTTAAATAACCAGAGGGCACAGCAAAAATCAATCCTTCGGGCACTCGACTCGACCCACCTTGGCGCCGAACTGCAGCAAGGTCTTTCCCAAGGCTTTCTCGCCTGAAGCAATGGGGGGACGGAACATGGTTTTACAAACACATCCAATGGGTAATCATGGGATAATCATGGGGATATATTTATATACCTATATATATCATGGGGATAAACATCCAATGGGTGTTTCTAAACAGAAAAAAGAAAAGGCAATGGATAATCCGATGGATCATCATGGGGATATATTTATACATCTATTATCTCTATATGACATTACAATCTATCGAAGAATGGGAATCATGGTTAAGTTATGGGATTCTGTCAATCGCGAAAACACTTGGATCAAACAATTGGTATCAATTGGTACTGGTTTCAGGGAAAATCTTCACCGGAATCAGTTGGTTAATTAGTTTTCACCTCCGTTTTCACACACGGCCTATTTAGCCGATTTTACTCTCCCTTCAGAAAATCTGGCAGGCTCCGCAAACTTGAAGGGTCTGAAGCAACAAAGATGGGGAGATGACAAACCAGATTTGGTGCAACTTGTTGAAGCTCGGCTCAGAATGGTGGACCACCATGTGGGGATCGTATCTAAGAAACCATGACTTAAAGATGACACATATTTTCTGAGTCCCTTAGAACCTATATTTTTGGGCCATACCCATTCAGCGATCAAGAACAATTACTTGATTTCTTCGTGGTATATCATATAATGCTCTAATTTCATCCTCCATGCGAGCTTATTTAACATGATAAAAATGTCATACGCAAGTTTTTGCTGTTCTTCAAACCAGGTCAACGAAGCTTTGTTCTTCCTTTCCCATTTGGTGGTTGATTAAATGGCTTTCAAATTCTCTATGCGTTGCACTAAGAGGAGTACGGGTCAAATTATTCACAGAAATGGAGAGAAATGGATGATTTGAAGTCCATAAAATGATCGATTCCGCGCTCCATTGCTACCCCATCTTCCATCCCTATGGTGCTTCTTTCTGCAGTCAGTGGCTTGAACAGTGTTGAACATGCTCTAGCTCCAACACTCTGTGCTGTTCTTTGATTCGATCAACAAAAAAACCTCTCATACCAACTGAAACCCTATGTTTGCCTATACTTTTAACCAGCAGCAGATCCTTTTTGCTAATTTCACCCCCTAATATCAAAAATACACCCCAAACAAGACCCACTACTAACCCACTATATATTCATTTTAGGGGCCCACTTATGGGGAGCATTTTTGATCTTAGGCGGATACGACTATATAATTAACCAATCTAACCAACTTGAATCACCTATTACCCTCTGGTAATTTAACATAGCTATTGAAAATGGCCGTTTATAACTAGTTGATTGACCTATGAACAATGGTAAGTCCCATAAATCCACCATGTTTCCCATCATTCCACCCTTGTTCCGGGGTAAATCCCACATCCACCGCTGTGAGTTCCACCCAACATCTCCACCTTCGGACTCAAAGATCCGAATGGCTTCAGGCAGGTCGCCGTCCTGCCGAATGATTTTTGGGACACGGAATTCAGCATATTTCACATGTACTGCGTACCGGTTAGGCGATTTTGTATCTTTTAATGTCTTTTAATAGTGGATTCAGGACGAATTTGATGATCAACACAATATATGGAATTTGATCAAACTAAGATGTTGGCTACAGGCTCAAACTAATGCGGGAGAATAAAACAAATCCTCAATGATCTTCAGTTCAAACAGAACTGCACATTCACCGGCTGAACCACTAATAATCTGGTACAACTAACTTTTTTTGAAAGGGCGTGATTCGTGATCCATTCAAACCTATCAAAGCCGAGGCCAGCGTAAGAAGAAAACACCCTGATGATAAAAGTGTATTTCCACCAAACTCTGATGGTTCGATATTTTTGATACTTAAATCACCAAAAATCCCAAATATCGGATTGTTCTGCAATTTATATATAATTAACAACTGCCATATTTTATGGGTATCCCCATTTTCAGACACAGCAACATATCATATCATATCATATCATATTGTTAAACTGGTTGGTGGTATACCTACCCCTCTGAAAAAATGATGGAGTTCGTCAGTTGGGATTATGACATTCCGAACTGACTGGAAAGTCATAATCCACATGTTCCAAACCACCACCAACCAGTAAAGGTTCAATCCAAATTCTTATGGCTAAAATCCCTAGCCTTTCGCTGGTGAAGAAAAAGCATTAAAATGGTCGCTGACCGCCGGTCACACCTTGGCCGCATATTCGGCGTATTTCAGGTTGCACCTCGCTGAAGTCTCAAAATGGGCCGGTACACCAAGCGATGTGCATAAATTGATGGGATTTATTGAGGTGTTAAAGATTGTTTTAAAAAAATTGCATAGTGAGAAAGTCTTGAGTGACTCAAGCCCAAAAAATTGGAGCTACACTTAGAAAGTGGTCAGTAACATTCAGTAACCATAGTCAGTTCACTTAGTTCACCCATGGTAAGGCCACTGGCCACGAAGACCTAGATCTACCAAGGCCAGAATCTGATCCCTGGGATGACATGTCGATGGCGAAGTCACCAGGGGATTTCACATGATTCAACCAATGAAAATGGGGAAACATATTGGGAAAAAGATGGCTATACAATAAAGATAATAAAGGATGATTATATAATATCATTTTTTTTGGCGAACTAGCCACGAATCGTAAGGAGCTGATATTCCTGGTTTTGTCGGAATCAGTATAGGTTTAATATGGTTTAATACACTGAATGTGAATCAACCTTACCAAGTGCCATGAACCACCTAGGCTTGAAACATAAGGACTAGCCTCTAGCAATCTAACTGCCATGGTCAACATTAGGGATCCGAAGAATGGTTGGTGGTTGGTGGTTGAGCCTACCCCTCTGAAAAATGATGGAGTCAGTTGGGATGATGACATTTCCAATATGTGGAAAAATAATGAAACATCATCCAAATGTTCCAAACCACCAACCAGACTAGATGGTTAACACTATAGACAGATACTAAAATCTGTGGTTACACAGGGCTTATGACCTATTACTTGAGGGCATGGCAACCACCAAGTTCTCCTGCTAGGGAGGCAACCCTGGGTCCGCTGGCTTGGAAAAATTGGATTCGGAGTGATCAGCGAGCTCGAACATCTCAGCTGCTCGCTTGTAGAATTCCTGGCCACAGTCAGGTACCCTCTGGTGATGCCAAAATAGCTATTGAAAATGACCATAGAAATAGTGGATTTTCCCATTAAAAATGGTGATTTTCAATAGCTACGTTAAATTACCAGAGGGTATGTCATACAAGTCGAGTTGTCATTTCAATAGGGACAACCCCTCTGAAAAATGATGGACTTCGTCAGTTGGGATTATTATTCCCAATATATGAAAAATATGAGTTCGTCAGTTGGGGTTGTCCCTATAATCCCATATTTATTCCCAATATATGGAAAAAATGTTCCAAGCCACCAACCAGATGATGATCATCCGATAAACCAATGTAAACCATGGGGGTTGGGGGCATCCATGGGTATCCTACACAAAGGGACCTTATTGATGACAGTGGCAGCCTGATGAAATGTGCCTGGATTCAACATGAACAGGAACCTGGAAATTGCTGCAACATATGTACAGCACATGAATGACTGTGCTATACTGTGCTCACAGAAAATCCACAGTTCAAAAATTGTGGCATATGTCTTTTGATTTACAAGATCCACAAGGAACGATGTTTCCCCAGGTAACGCGATGTTTTTTTTGTGGTGTTCGGCCACTTTGCAAAAAGGACGCTTTTTTAGCGCCGAACCGGCCGAAGGGCCCCGATGGGCCTGTCCAAATCTTGTGGAACATGCTCTTTCAAAAGGAAAGCAGTCCTACCTCAAAGTCCATGTTTTTGAAAGAGCATTCAATATATCTGGTTGGTGGTTTGAACCCCTCTGAAAAATATTAGTCAATTGGGATCATTATTCCCAATATATGGAAAAAAAAAAATGTTCCAAACCACCAACCAGAATATATATACATACCATTTTCTATACATTCATTTCACTATACATACCATTTTTTTTGTTGCAGAAAAACTCCCACGTGTGTGGCTTCATTCATAGTTTCTAACCACGAGTGATCATCAGGCTACCCCCGAGCCCCCAACCCGCCATGGTTTCGATCCAGCCTTGCACTCTTTGTGTTGCAACCTTTCGGCCTGGCTCCGTGAAGGATATGGATGGATATGCGTGAAGAAACCATAGCTATTTGTAGATCTCTCGCTCTCTATATATAATATACATATCGGATGTATATGGATGTGTATATATATAATATATATATATATATATATATGGATGTATGTGGATGTATATGGATGTATATGGATGTATATATATATACATATGGATGTATGTGAAAGTATATGGATGTATATGGATGTATATGGATGTGTGTGTATATATATATGTATGGATGTATGTGGAAGTATATGGATGTATATGGATGTATATGGATGTATGTATATATATATATGGATGTATGTGGATGTGTAAGGAAGTATATGGATGTATATGGATGTATATATATATATATGTGTATGGATGTATGTGGATGTACATGGATGTATATGATTGGGCATTTCTGATGATTCTCTGTCCCTAGATGGTTGGTCCGTTGAACCCCCTAAGGGGGATGAAACGTGGCCAAAATCTTGCCGATCACATGCTGGTAGGACCTAAGTTGAATGGCTAAGATCCCAATAAGAATCCTGGACGAATAGCATCTAATACATACCCTAGGCTTAACTAACATTGAACATGCAAACCCATGGTTTCCCTATACAAAAATGATCCACAAATGGTCTTTTTTTCCACATCGAACTGTTGCTTTACCTGACCCAGGGTTGCCCGAGAAGGCCTCAAAGAGTTCCGCGATGGACAACAACAGCTTTCCCGCCTTTCACGGTGCGGAAAGGGACATCAAAAGTCGGTGGGTAATGGGATAGTCCCTTCCCCCAATCAAAACAAGTGATTACGAGATGAATCTGAAATACTGAAATCCCGGAAACTGATGTATATATTATATATAAATTGTATGTACACATAATTCTGTATTCAGTTGGGGCCCAACCCTCTGCCAGTTGTGGTTGGATGGGGTTGTCGACTACATGTTGGCCATGTCACATTTTTGAGGATTAGCATGGGACATATGATGGGTTTGCTAAACTCCTATTCTGGATCCAAACCTAGGATTTAGTTTTCGATCTTTGCTGTTGAATGCAGGAGTTTATTCATTCAAACTACGGTATATTCCCTAAAAAAATCCAGTTGGGATTATGACATTCCCATGTTTTTTGAAAAATAAACTTCATGTTCCAAACCACCAAGCAGTATCCCTATCATTCAATGGCCAAACCACCAACCAGTCCCAGTTTGATGGATCCAGTTGTTTCCACATCAAAAAGCGTCCACATCCAAGGATTGGCGCTGTCCAGGTTGCATACGCTGTTGTAGATTTCAATGAGGATCTCTCAACTAGCCTAGACCCTCGCTTCTACCCAGCAAATTACATACATGCATTCACTGTGAACCAACAAGAATTGCCAATCATTCAGGGAATTGTATGGAATTGTATGAATTTGAAAGCATGTTCACCCAATTCTACGCAGTTTCATTATACAGTCTAAACTCTACACTTGGTCATGTAGGATCATCATGGATCATCGTAGCCCCAGCATGTTCACGGCCTGCTACAGATTTAATCATGCGATTTTGATCAATTTGGGTTGAGGAGGATTTGGCCGCTCTTTTTGCATACCCAAAACATCTGATGTGAATGCAATGTCATGGAATTGACTGGGGTAGTGTGAAGGAAGGCCGGATTTCTTGAAAAGAACTGCTTCAGCGAAGCTATTGTTCCACAAGGATAAAGCATCCAAGTTGTTTCGACCATTTTTAACCCAAAATTACAGAGAGAATATCGAAAAAAGTGAATGAACGTGAATAAACTGCAAAATCCATGGGACCTTTGTGTTCAATGTTCCTGTTGCATTCGCTATGAGTTGGATCGCCATTTCCCATTACTTTGGCCGATTTCCCAGCTAGCCATGTTTTATGACACCGGAGGATACAGTAACCATCCATTCTTGGCAAACGATCATCATACGCAAGTCTTGCGTCACGTTTGATGACACCGGAAGGATCCGTAAGGTCTTTTGTTTTGGTTGGCGAATGAATCACTGGTTGGTGGTTGAGCCCTACACCTCTGAAAAATATGAATTCGTCAGTTGAGATTGTTGTTCCCAATATATGGAAAGATAATCCAAATGTTCCAAACCACCAACCAGATCATTTCTGTTGATCAAATCTTCATTTTGGTGGATGAAATCCTCATTTCTGCTGTAGCAACCCCCAAAAGGATCCGGAAAGATGCGGAATTTTCCAGGATCTCCAACTTTTGCGGCATCTTTTTGGGGGTTACTATGATTCCATCCCACTTCCAGTTGGATCCTGATGATATTCCCAGTAGATCCCCATTTACAATCATTTATAGCTCGCCAAATCCCATTCAACCAGCCATTCCCATATATTCCGCTTGGTGAAATCCTGATTTCAAGAGAATTTCCCATTTCCCAAGCATCTCCCATATATTTCCCATATATTTCCCATAGATTTCGGCATCTTTTTGGGGTCCTGGTGAACTTCCCAACGCCTGTTGGAAACGCCCAGCAGCGCTGTAGATGCCAATGGCCTGGCCGCTTCGCGGCGCTTCGCGCCAGGTTCTCATCATCCATTGGGTATTTAAAAAGCACCTAATTTTGGGGTAAACATATTAATGTAAACATGTGATGCTGACAGGATTAGTATGGATTAGTAATGATATATATATATATATAGGCACAAAATATGATGATATATATATATATATAAATATATAAATATATATATATATTTATATATATTTAATATTATTTAATTATTATATACGTATATGTACAGTCATAGTCATAGTGTCATCAAATAAATACCTAGTGATGGTCACTATCATGGTCATAGTCTTATCATGTTTTAAAATAGATGATTGTATTCCGATTTTTAATGATATATAGTAGGTAATCTTAGTCATCTTATATAGGAATTAAAAATGTACTCATATATCATAATATCATATATGATCAATGAGTTTGTTTAAGGGAACATCTTCACCGGAAACCTGCAAAACTGACTTGTTTTTTTTTCAGATGTTCCTGTTTTTTTTCCCTTATATAAACCAATTGATGCAATACAGATGTCAATATGTGTTTGCAATAATGCAAATGCCACTTATGAAATATCGACAACTATATATGCCAATACATATATAGATTTGTATATATCTACACATACACAATTAATATGTTTGCAATGTAAAAGTCATTGCAAACGTATGTACTATATATATATGTATGTGTATACGTACGTATGTCTGAGATGGTCAACGCTGTGGATGTGAATGGTCACAGGCATCAACAGTCACCAGGCGCGCACTGTACCAATGGGACCTGTGGATGTGGATTGGCAAGTCCGCTGCGGAGTGTTTGGTATGTCCATATATGTCCATTTAATTTAAGGTTTGCATCTGTAATGTTCTGTATCTAGAAGTAGATGTAGATCAGGATTTAAAAGTTATGACATGTTCCGCTTGTCTCTGGTTAATTCTCAACCCATGTAGCAGCAGTTCTCCGTGTTTTCGGTGTCCCTTGCAACAGTAGCCAACCCATAACCCCGCACCTTCTCGAATTGTTCCACTGCAGATGCAGTGGACACTTTCTTCAACACCTGACAGCTATGCAGCAAGGCTTTTTCAAGCACCAAATGACCAGTAGTGATCCAATCCAATCCCCAAAGATGTTCTCGCGTGAGTTTTTGTGCTTTACCAATTTACGAGTTCACCATATGCAAAGAAGTAGAAACGGTATCGCTTGAGCAAAATCTCTCATGTCTGGTGATCTCAACCCCCAGCATTGGATTTCTCACAGTTCCAGATGATCCTGGCTGCGGTGAAGGAGATCCTAGGCCCTGGAGATAGCACATTTGAATCAAACAGCCAGCAGCTTTTTGTAGGGCCTTTTCAACTTTTTTTCTGGCCGCAGGCAGCTTTGATATGCTTTGATATTTTTTATATCTTTTTCAGAAGTTTGGCCAACACGTTTGATCGCCTTCCTACCTTATCTTAAGAAATGCCCTTGAGTTATGTACCTACCTCACGTTGTGCCCCATGGTGCCCTTCTCCATAATATATCTGGAAAATCATACAAAAGATCCTCAACCTGAGTTTCGAGTCACCTCGCTTGATCCTGCGGCCCTTCTGCAGCTGAAGACGAGATATGCATGTGTGGAAAGATGTGGAAAGAAACACACAGCCTGATTTAAGTTTGTTTATATAACTATTGTTGGTATATCCAATTGTATCCCAACTAACTATATCCCAATATCATATAAAATTATTATCCCAATTATATCCCAATGATGGTGAAATCCAACTGGTTTCCTCCATTCTTGCCCATGGCGCAATTTCATGGGTCTTGGTCGTTTGAGGTCGCCACAAGTCATCCAAAAAACCGTCGTCTTGGGTTTGTCTCACACTTTGGAACTTTGAAATCCATTGGTACATAATGGTATATATGATAGCATTCCCAAATACAGAAAGAAAGGTGACATCCTGCTCGTTTTTTTCAAAACGACCCCTCTTGAATAAGAATGTTCAAGCATTTTCATCGCTCCACTTACAACAACGGCATTGGATCAAAAAGCCATCCTGGTGAACCTCAAAATGCCTGGTGAATGGATGTGAAAATACCCACCAAATATAGTCCATCATCGTATTTTTGTGACGCATCACCAGATCCAATTTTCATGTATTCCATCCAGATCCATCCAGTGGTCCACCATCATTTTCCCAGATTATCCTGGTTGGTGGTTGGTACGCCTAGCCCAACCTGAAAAATGATGGACAACTCGTCACTTGGGATGATTTTCCATTCCCCAATATGTGGAAAGTCATGGAAAGTCATAATCCAGCCATGTTCCAGTCACCACCAAGCAGTATCCCTATCATTCAATGGCCACAACTGAAGTTTTCTCCACAGCTCTCACTCTGAGGGCTCTGCGTTGCCAGCCTCTGAGAGGTAGTTGGCCTACCGAAAGGCGAGCAATAACGGTGGGTCAAGCCATGGCGACGACCAGGTCAAGCCACAGTCATTGGAATGTCATTGGAGTGTCGATTTTTTAGCAGTAAAAACCACAGATAATCTATATCAGATAATCAGAGTTAGCATTTATCATTTTTAGTGTTAGTCATGTAATCTGATTGATGGAATGTCTATATTTAGCATTAAGCATCCAATTGGTACAGTTACTTAAGTTAACTACTCTCTACTACTTGTACAGCCGTTTGCAGTTGTGTCAAGCCATAGAGGTGGTGCCCCAGGAATCGCGAAGTTGCTTTACCAATAGGGCTGATGGCTATGGCACAACTGGCGAACATTGGAATTAGCATAAACCAACCAAAATAACTGGCCTTCAGCCACCATAGTGCCCAGTGCGAATCTGCAACAGTTGGATCTTCCAAGTGCTAATTCAAATGAACTATAGTAAATAACTGGCCAGGCACCAGCTTGTAGATTCAGGTGGTTCCTACATTGATTCGGCACCCTCGTGATTCGGCCAAACGTTAATATTATTCACTCCTGCTACCTGTTATATAGCCTGCTTCAGAAAGCATACCTTGCTACATACCCTGATTTCCCAAATTTAGAAAATGTTGGCCCATTTTGGGGTGCTTCCCCCAACATAAACATCAAACAATACATCATCGTATCTGTGTCAAAGGTCCATCCGACAATACACAAATGGGATTCTCCAAAAACAGGGTACCCCCATATCCATCCGGATCCACTGCTTCAACATCATCTTCTATATTTAGAACATTTGCCATTTAAGAGTGTACCCATAGTGTACCCTATCTGACTTGTCACACTGGCAGCGCGTAATGTTGTTATATCGCATTATGTATATGTCATTATATGTCTATATAAATAAGATTCCCATTGTCTGGAATCAATTCGCCTATACCCTCTGGTAAACTAACATAAATACGTATGGAACATCATCATTTCTAATGGGTAAATCAACTATAAAATAGCCATTTTCAATGGCTACGTTAAATTACCAGGGGGTAATTGGTTGAAGCAAGCCTGAAAAAAATGGAGCACCACGAAAAATCACGAACCATCCCAGCAATGGATGAAATTGCTCAGTGATCCCCCATTTTTTATCATCCATGGCATGGAATGATACTGTATAAAACCATTTTATCCCCCTTGTAGCCATAAGAAAGTCATGACTTGGTTGGTTCACTCAACATAAATCCATTTGAAATCCCGTACAAACTCCAGTATTGTTGGAATCATTTCCCTAGTTACAGATCATTTTCCCCCCAGATTTCCTATTACATGCACATTAGTTCAATAAAATCACCATGTCCCAACATGTCCCAACTTTATTCCAAGATGCACTAATGGATCCCAGTTCTGCACCAATGTATTCCAATTTCCAAGTGTATTCCCATCATATTTCCCATGCAAATATATGACACATACATCTGAAACTAGTGGATATTCAGCATTGCATTTTTTTATTGGTGAGAATTCTGGACCAATGGATGGAATGGGGAAGCCTATTTTCAGACAAATCCCGACATGTTCCTACGACATGTTTCCACTTTGTTCCTGGATCCAAACCTCCGACCGAACGAGGCGGAGGCGCCTGGTCTGAAGTGGAGCCACCCTTCTCCGCGCAGTGGGCGCATTGAACGAAGCAGTCGCCAGCCTGGATGTGGGGAGGCCAAAGAAATCATCCAGATTCATGGGCCTGGCTATGGATGTGGGGCCAACAAAAATCATGCAGATCAATTGGGTTTCATGGGGGGTTCATGGGGATATTACTTGAGAACATTGGGATATAGTCGGATTTCACCAAGCTGAAAGGCTATGGGATATGGGAATCTATAATGAGGGTATCAAAGGGATATACTGGGATTCTTGATGGATGTGGAAAACCAACAATCAACATGGGATGGATGATCTCATCGATTCGTAGGAGCTGCTGGCTGGTTCACCGGAATCAGTGGCCATGTCAGGAACCCAAATTGAAGGTACCCCCACAAAATATGGCAAGTTATGGTAGAGTAGCTCCAGTTCAGGTGCCTGAAATGGCCATTGAGAATCAGTGGGTTCATGAACTCACCCCAGTCACAACCGGACTAATCCTACTTGTAACTTACCCTCTGGTAATTTAACATAACTATAGAAAATCACAACTTTTAATGGGTAAATCAACTATAAATGGTCATTTTCCATAGCTATGTTAATGTTAGTTTACCAGAGGGTATAACATCTTATAACTGGGGTCACAAGATGTTGCCACTTGCTTCAGTAACTGGGGTGGACCACCAAGTACAGTACTTTCGTTGGCTAAGTACGAAATCTCCAGGAGTTAGCATGAAAAGACCAGTTGCGATCACAAGTTATAACTAGTTGGTGGTATACCTACCCCTCCGAAAAATGATGGAGTGAAAGTCAGTTGGGATGATGACATTCCATTCCCAACCAGATGGAAAGTCATAAACATGTTCCAAACCACCAAGCAGATAATCACTTCAGGGGTCGTCTGGAAAGTACGATCATCGGATCTGTGGAGACGCTGCTCTTCAGAGATGGCAAGGGCCTCTAGGGCCTTTTGAGAGCAACGGAGCCTGAAACGATAACATCTGATAACATGCAACTTTGATCATTTACATTCATTTACTATGGCCATACTTTTGTCTCTCAAAATGGCTATATATGCTATATTTCATGGCATCCCCATGTAGGGTATCCCATGTTAAAACAACTCCTGGATTTGGCTAGCGCCTCTTGCCACATTTTGGCCATCTTGTACTGGTTGGCGGCTTGCTGATAGATTTCGATGGCCTCAATGGCTACCCCGAAATCGGTAGCTGACAAGTGGACAATGCCATTTATAATCCAATGTATCCAATGAGTTTCAGCATACATATCTACATATATAATATGTGTATATACATATCTGATCTGGGTAGACAATATGGATATGCGATCATGATATTGATACTACATGACAATTGCCCATAAAGTTATCTTCAACATGAGGATTTCCAGGTTCACGGATGATCACGTAAAAGCTACCTTGCACCTCTTCGGAGCCTTCTGGAAAACTCTCTTAAAAATGGTGGATCAACATGGACCAGCTATGAAAGCCGCCAGGCTTGGGAAGCAAAACGATTGGCCATCCCAAAATGGGCCAGTTATGGCCAGTTTCTATCAACACCAAGTTCTTGGTCACAATTTTCATGTGGAAAACACCCTCCATGCTTACCTGGTTCCGCTCGACCTTTTCAACCGAGGTCACTGTGAAGCGCCCCCGCGGCCCGCTAGCGCCTCGTCGTATTTGGGACCTCCCGTGAAGTATCCCATCAAACCACCACCTCACAGGACTGGCAGCAGCATGGGATATGAATGGTCTTTAGATGACAAAGGAACCTTACCTGGAAACCACTGGTAGTGCCCTGGTTGGTGGTTGAGCCCTGGTATACCTACCCCTCTGACAAATGATTCGGAGTCAGTTGGGATGACTATTCCATTCCCAACCAGATGGAAAGTCATAAACATGTACCAAACCACCAAGCAGTACCACATGGATCACACATGATCACAGCCTGCTTACTCCTCTTACTAGATGAACCATGGTGAAGCTACCAACTGAGTTCCTGGACTCAGAATGTATAATGTGTCACCAGAAAAAAAAAAATGGCCGGGAGTCGACGGTCAAATGGGGAAAATATGGGAAACTATGGGAACATATGGGAAAACATGGGAAAATATGGGAAACTATGGGTACATATGGGAAAAGAACAACGTTTTTGGTGTCTTTTGAAAGTCTTGAGGAACAAACCACTTGGAGTCACTTGGATTGAGGGACTTTGAAAGTATTGCCCCTCACCAACAAACACCATGGATCCAGGCTGGTTCTATGTGGATCGGTCACCGGCTGATCTCTGATGGATGTGTCCAATGGCCATGCAATTCTTTCAGGGTGAAACTGTAGCCCTGCTGATGACCAATGTCATCTACCACATCCAGTCCCCACGAAGGTTTTTGGTAATTGGGGTTATAAACCATACATACTCCTGTACTCAAACGTAGTTATGTAACATTTTTATGAACATTTGCCATCTAGTTCAATGATATACCGATGATATACCTATCAAGCGATGAATAGCTACCGTGCATTACCATAGCTACCTTGGTTGCAAAATTCTGCACCACTGGTTGGACCTCCTTTCAGCTTTGAGTCCGCCTTTTTGACCAGCCTGAGCGTGGCCAAAATGACCGGACCCGAAAATCCCGCAGGTGAGGTGCAAAGATGCAGGAAACAAGGAGGAAACCTCATGAATTCAAGACGCTAGCCAAACATGATGCGAAATCCTGCAGCATTTCCATTCGACCGAGTCTCGGAAGAGCTGATTTTCTGAGTTCAACATAGTTCAACCCATACGGAATCACTATGAGAAGATTAGAAAGAATCATTCAAGTCTCATCCTTCATAGCAATTCATAGTCATTGTTTTGGATATGTTGGGACCATCATGTCAGGACCGAAAAAAATCAGCTGAAACGACCAGCTCGAGGTGATGGCCCCTGTAGAGAACATGCTAGACTGGTTGGGGCCGGATCACCATGACCATCATCATCATCATCATCATCATCATCATCATCCCTGTTGTATAGTAATATGAAATGTAAAAAGTCATCATCATAATAGAATATAATAGATACCCTCTGGTAAACTAACATAGCTATTGAAAATGGCCATAGAAATAGTGGATTTTCCCATTAAAGATGGTGATTTTCCATAGCTATGTTGAATTACCAGAGGGTAATAAGAGCTGTCCTGAGTATTCTGAGATCAGGATGGCAACCAACTGATATGTGTAAAGTCCACCCACGTGCACCGTCCGCATTCCGGGATCGGACTCTTGTGCAGCAGCAGCCGACATTGCCTGCTTTTCACAAAATCCCGGAAATGGTCGAACGTTTACAGGAAACCCGTGGAATTAAAAGCTACGGTTTCCTGTAGATTTTCCCGAAAAAAACAATCCATTCAATGAATCGAATACACATGTTTGATATTTTTTGGCCGTATGAGAAGAAATACCCAGGAGAAACATTACAATACATCTAGATACATCATAAATCATCATAAATCGATAATAAATCGATATTTCGTAAATTAAATAACCACTAGAAGAGAAACAGGGAACGCCTACGAAGAAACTTTCGAAATGCTGACGCGATCCCCATTGCTCCACATTTCTGGCACCTTGAAGCAAAGGCCACGTCGTGGCAGGCAGCAAAAGTGGATGATTCTGTTAGAATAAAAAACTCCTGGTGGAAACTGACCCAGTAACTCAGTATGAGAAGTGCAACTCAATAATCATTGGCATGGCCAGTGCAAGTTGACGATAGAAACATCGATTTTTCGGCTTCGCTTCAAACTGTTTCTAAGAGATTTGGTGTACTTGCCGAACAAAATGCAATGAATATAGAAGACATGTAACCAATCTCCAGAAGCGTCAGAAGTGTGCAGACAATTTCCATGACACCCTGTGAACTGGACATGTTTGGATCATCTTTGTGAATTCGGCAGCCAAAAGAGTCGACAAAGATGACACAGGCAACGCCTCTGGAAATCGATTCACCAAAGCCAGGCTGGTTGGAGATTGAGTTTCACGCTCAAAATGAATTTCACATGAGATGTTGGCTTTTACATGCTACGCAGACGAATTGGCTTCGAAACATGCGAAGGAAGTGAGTTTGCCATCATGGAAGCGATGGCCCACTTGTAGATGATTTAGCCGTCAAAAAAAAGGAACATGTCCATAGCAAACTGTTAAATTATCCAAGGGTACAGGATATTTGATGATATTTGTGGACTTGAGATATAAGTCCACAGGAAAATGGCCCAAAGAAACACAATTTTTTTTCTCAGCCCTTCTTGCGCTTCTTCCGCCTCAGGTCAAGAAGACGTTGACGTTACCCAGTGATTTCATTGGCTTTGGCAGGGGTCTATCAACGAACCTAACTTCTGATATGCCGTGATATGCATGGTAATGTTTAATAGCTATATACTATACTCATCTATACTCCCTATAATAGTGTACATTTATGTGTATATATATAACTATAGATATATGTTATATATATGCATATATTATATAACATCCATTGAACATCCGGTTTTTCGTTGCACATTTTAAGGCCAACCATCTCCACATGTGACATCCGCGCCACGCCACTGGGCGACCCCGGCAGCTGCATGTAGAAGCGATCCACGCGTTTTCCCTTGGCCCAATGGGAGTCGAAGTAGCTACTAGACTTGACCTGGGATGTTGCGGCGCTACTATGGGGATTTCTAAGGGGATTTCATGGCATTTTAATGGCTGGTTGGTGGTATAACTACCCCTCTGAAAAATATGACTTCGTCAATGGGAGGGATTATCCCATGTATCCCATGTATTATGGAAAATAAAAGCTAAGTTTGAAACCACCAACTGCAGATGGGATTTGAATGGGATGAGATACCTTTTGTCTTATAATATGTAACCACTTTTTTGGTAATATGATGAATGCCTCAATCCATTGGTTGACTCCAGGCCCATCCTGGCCGCGGCGCGGAGATTCTGAGATTCTGGGCTTCCCAACGAGGTGCCCGCTGTGCTTGTTGGGCCAGCCCTGATAGAGGCTCACCTGGGTGAACATTGGGGGGTTCATTGGGTTCGTAAACCCAAAATAGCTACAGAATCTAGAGAAATGAGGTGAGTTTCTGTTGAAACACGAGCTTATCATAGGTGATCCCTGGATAACAAATCCCTGCATGAATTGGTTATGATTGATTTTTCAGGCAGGACACCATGCTGTTTTTACCCAAAAACAGAGGTAAACTTAGTAAACTGTCGCTGCTATGGCTGCAAGCTGATCAGATTGGCTATGGAAACCCGTTGATCTGCCCCTCCCACTAGTGCTGACTAGTCCCTTCCCCCAAACAATAAACATCAATTTAATGTTTACACAGTTACACATCAATACTTAGATGATCTTACATGATTAGGAAACCTTGAACTTTCATATCTTTTTCCATGGAATTTAAGGTGCCCCATTTCAAGGTTCAATGACTTACATGGGCTGGTTGCCATGGCACCCCATGCAGCGTCTCCGAAGAAGTGCCGGAGACATCTACCTCTCAGCTGTGTCGCTGTCTCAGCTCTGGAAGCGGCTGATTTTCCGTTAAGTTGTCAGAGGCTAATTGGTCATTAATTAATATCCCAGTGAAATCCCATTACATGAGTAGATACCATTATATCCCATTAAAAGATTAAAATCCCAATGGGATATATAAATATTAATAAGTTGGGATTGAAATATTAATGGAATACCAATCCATTGCTGGTTGGCACTAAACCAGTCATTGCTAATTGGCACTAATCCAGATATGAGATAACAAATATTCATCCAGTTATATCCAGTTATTGATATTTATCCACATTATCCACATGCTCTGGTTGGTGGTATACCTACCCCTCTGAAAAATATGAGTTCGTCAGTTGGGATGATGACATTCCCAATATGATGGGAAAAATAATTCAAATGCTCCAAACCACCAACCTCAATGTGAATGGACTATACTGTACTGGATAATACTATAATATGGCATATAATGGGATGTTACTGGGATACAGTGCTAATTATAATTGCATATGATGGGATGTGAATGGGATGTTTTGATGGAATATGAAAGATGAATGAAATGTTAATATATCTAGATATTATCACAATAGATATATTAATATTCCATTAATCTTTCATATTCCATACATATTACCTTTTAGTGGAATATATTCAATTACAAGAGGTATGATGATATTGTGATCTCGCATAGATCCACTTTGTTTATCTTAGCATAAGTGGTACCCACTACTATCATCAACTATCCATAGGCCATCACATGTCGCTTCTCTCCACCGAAAAATGTAGCTCCGCGGCTCTGGGCGCTGTGCCATGATTGTAAATTCGTATCAGGGCTGCATATGATCAAATACCACACGTGAATGTATTACATGATGACGTGCGCATTAAAATAATATCTAATCATGGATGTTTGATGATGTATCCATATCTCTATGTATACCATATCTATACAGATATTGATATGGCCCAAACATTGACTAATTGCCTTAAAATAACGTGTTTTTTCACCCCAAAATGATCCCAACCTTCGTGTTTGCCCCGGACCATGGTCCCCTAACTGATCCGAAAAGCCCTTGCTCCATGAGACCTGCAGTGTGGGCGTTTTAAGGGGTATCCGATTCTCAGACAACATGTGGAGAAGGAAGCCCTAGCCCATTAAAAATGGTGGATCTTTCCATAGTTATGTTGGTTTACTGGAGGGTATCCCATGAATATGCCATCTGGTTGGTGGTTTTTCGCCTACCCCTCTGGAAAATGATGGAGCGAGTTCGTCAGTTGGGATGATGACATTTCCAATATGATGGGAAAGTCATAATCCACATGTTCCAAACCACCAACCAGAAATGATTTGTGAACTGATCATTTCTGAGGTAATCCCAGTGTTTTGAACACTTGAAGCTTGTTTCGTATTGTTTTGTCTTGTGCAAGAACAACAAAAAATCCTACGAATCATGTGTCGAATGCAGTAGATGGAACAGCCACACTCAGAGTATTCAGCCTTCAGGAAACACAAAACTGGATACGTAACCGCAACAGATTCAGTGACAGATGGAATTACAGCCTGCGGACCAAGTTCGAAACAATGAGATACGACCACCGGCAGGGAGACTGGCAATACTCATGTAAATCGGATGTATGATGCTTGTCAAGCATGCCCCTTACATATCTATACATATCTTGTGATGAATAGTACCTTCACAGAAATCATGAGGACATGGCGAATGGGCTGACCGGGGAGGATAACCCACTTGAGGTGAACCACCAAGTATGATCTACCTAGGAACCTGTAGTATAGTATGGTTAACAATTGAACTGTTGGACTGCCAAATTTTAACGGCATGAAGTGTATCTGCATTTACAGCAAACATGAACCCAAGCAACGTTTATTTGGAAGCAAATGTGAAAGTTTCTGTTCCTGCTTGCATCTTCTCAGAAAATAAGCATGAAAAGCACATGGCTTCATGATATCCACATTCATCTTGGTTCTACCATGGTTCTACCTATGGCCACTACCAGTGGTAATGAACCCCAAACACGTTCTTTCCCTTTCACGTCATGCCCGTTCTGGGGCCACCGGCCACCGGCCTGGGCAACAGCCACCCAGAAAGTCTTAAATCTGGGGCAACCTTTGTTATTGACTTGTATTAGTAGTAACATGCTAAAGCCCTGTGGCCCTCCAAGTACCTGAACGAATCACCCTCGTTGAAATCGACCATTGACAAGAAACAACATGAAACAACGAGGTTTCCATGTTCTTCTTGGGAAACTTCCCAAACTCTTCACAGCTTGGTTTTCCATGGCTACCACGTGCCCGCGTGCTAAAAAAACATGTTTGCTTCATGGGGATTCCCAGACTCGTGACATCTCCCGCAATCTGACCATGATGGCCATGGCTACCGGCCCTAAGAGCCCTGCAGTTTCTGCCAAACTTCTCATGTACCTGCGATGGCGCAGCTGCCGCAATGGGGAAGCAGCGATGAAATATGGACATCAAATTCATAAGATAACACGAAAAAGAAACACATTGTAACAACATAGGGATTTCGCAAAAATCTGCTCCTAGATATTTTTTTTTCAAGAGATGGTCAGGAGATCAAGGATCAAGCTTTGGGAACAGATTCCACTGGGATTTGATCGTCATAAAACTCTTTGTCTGCGGAAGCACAAACATCGCTTAAATAGCAATCGAAAATGGCTGTTGAGACCACGCCTACAGAAAACTGCTTCCAATCGATTCATTGCAGATTGAAATATGCCACAAGGCACAGCATGAAACTCATGAAACCTGCCGGTGAGAAGGCCAGTAGGATACCACCTACCCCCTTCAGAAAGACTCCCCGATCTCTTAGGTCGGGAACCAAAAAAATACGAAAAACCTACCCTCTGGTAATTCAACAGTTGAAAAATGGCCTATGTAAATAGATCTTTACATTGATTTCCATGTGAAAAAAGTGCAAACATGTGTGAAAATAGTGAAATTTCCATCTCCGTCAGATTTCCAGAGGGTATTCACTTTAGATTCCCCAAACATCGAAAGTTTCTTGACATCCTTTTTCTTAACATAGGAGATGCGAATTCTCTGGGGAGCCTCACAGAGGTCAACTGCAATGTTTTCGGGGCCGGTGGTGTTTTC